ATAATGAATTTTCGCTACACTGAGTGAAGAGGGATAGGACTATAGTTTCACGGAAGGCCTGAAGTAAGTCCTGTCGTTAAAAGCTGTTCAGTTTCCACCATTTGCCGCTGGTTCCAATTGGACGACTTCATCCTTGATGCTTCCAATACTAGACCCCGAGCTTCCCCAGTCAAGTTAGGCATTTACAGAATGTGTGTGATATGAGTTGATGTAGCAAAAGGTCACAAGGTCTTTGAGTTTGCTCCGTGGTTGGTTTCCTGCGAGAGAGGAAAGCGCCTTTCATGCAGCTTTAAGGCGGGGAGTCAAAGTCTCTTAGTTGCAACTTACGTTCACAACTCCTGTCTTGATTGTTTACTCTTCGAAGTTCATTTTTCTTTCTTTCTTACAATTTTTTAATGTTCACCTTGGTTGTCAGGTTGGTTCAGGCACTTACCAATTGTGCAGGAATAGCAGACATATACCATTGCCTGGGTGGCAGGACCAGGATGGCCTCATCTCCCATATGGGCTTCTCATCGGCTCCAAGTCCACTTGCTCCAACTACTCCATTTCCGCTCCACGGACTCCTCACATGATCAGGGACGACTGGGTGGACGTGACTAACGTCCCCCCAAAGGAGAGTGCTGAGGGAATCTGGGGGTGTGCGACGGCCAGCGACACTGATTCAGCACTTGTCACCTCAACCTAGAAGGGGACTTTTCCACCAAGAATGGTTATTTTGGGGATAGGTCCCTTTTTTTAATGAGACTCGTGAATGAGATTGTTGTAAATGAAGCAAGTAAAACGTTCCAATTGTATTCCAGGTGTTGGGTGAGAGAGGAGGCCTTTTTCCAGCAGGAGCCCCCTTCTCCATCGGCTCCCCGCTCAGCATCTCCAAGTGCACCGGAACATCTTGCCAAACATGCGTCATCTCCCCATTTCATCTCCAAGGCAACAAGTTCAGGTTAATTTGGTCCTTTTAATATTTCCTTTCAAGTCTTTCCATTTTAAACTGTAGGATTTTGACATATTCCAAAAGTTTGCGAGCTGTGTGTCACTGCTAATATATTTTCTATACAGGGTGTTCGTATTTAAACGCGACATAGGGATTATTTTGCCGCCTGTAGGTGGAGGTCGGCGAACGCTATAAGGTATGTCGGGTTAGCCCATCTGCTAGGAATCACATCAGTGACCATGATTCACCGGGTTTCATCCTTCCAGATATGCAACCCGGTGAGCCGTAGGGTACGCGGAAACTCCACAAACAGGCGGCAAAAGTTTCCCTATGTTGCGGTCTACTGCATCGCTATGGAAGTACTTTTTTCATGTACCATGTTTCAGTGGTTTCACGCTGCAGTTCGTCTGTAGCAATAAATATATCATTTTCTGTTACTGCTGTTTTCTAATGGTTCCGAGGGATCTACAGTGTGTCAAAAGCGTCTTTGAACAGCTTTAACTCGGCAGGAAGAATTGCAACATATTTTTTTGCCTAGGAAAGAGCGTACGATAAGTCACCTAAATGGAACGTTTAAGAAAAATCGTCTTTAAATCCAGCCATGTTATTGAGCACCATCAAGCTCGATCCCTCGGTGAATGCGATCCATCATTAACGGTTGCACACGTGTCGAAGTAAACTCCGGCATTATTCTCAGTGATGCGTTGCTTTAGGTCAGGAGTGCCAAACTCGATTGGACTGGGGTGGGGGGGGGACCGGATGAAAGCCTTCAGGGTTGATTAGGGCCACGACGAAATTGCAACAACTTTATCTTTAATGCAAACAGGCTGACATAAAATTGCAGTTTGTTTCCGTAACCAGCTGTTGAAGAGGACTTCGTGGGCCGGAAGAAATGGACTGGCTGGCCGGGTCCGGCCCGCGAGCCGCCAGATTGATACCCTTGCTTCAGCTCATAGATCGTACGTGGATTGTCGGCAAATACCTAGTCTTGAATGATAACCCACAGCCAGAATTCGAGTGGTGCCTGGTCCGGCGACCCGGGTGCCGAATGTATAGGCCTGCATCGACCTATTCACTTTTCTTTGAAGTGAAACGACGCTTCAATTAAAAAGGATTCCTCCGCAAATAAGGAACAAGTGAACGATTGCGCCGTTCTCCTCCCCCGAAAAAAGTGTATCGGGCATCATCATGCAGCCATTTGAAGCAATCAGAATAGCAGAAATGTTGCTTTCGTTCCGCACAGACTCATTTATTATTAGTTTTCGATGCGAGTTTCCATGTTTGCTCATTAACTCTTTCATGTGCAAGGAACAGTTTTCAAATGAATGCATTCCTGTCGAGTAATAGCTGTTCAAAGTCGTTCAGTGGCATTTAACTCACACTGCACATCAATCCTCACAGGTCAACCAAGAGCTCCTTTTTTCCCTCCTTTATTTCAATTTTGAACATTGTCATGGAGTGAGGTCTCGTTAGTTTAATACTAATTTGCATATTGGTTTCAGTATATGAGGAATGAAGCTCTTCCATGTTTGCTCGGATAGAGAAATACTAAAAAATTATGCTCTAGTCGAGTTGCNCAGAATAGCAGAAATGTTGCTTTCGTTCCGCACAGACTCATTTATTATTAGTTTTCGATGCGAGTTTCCATGTTTGCTCATTAACTCTTTCATGTGCAAGGAACAGTTTTCAAATGAATGCATTCCTGTCGAGTAATAGCTGTTCAAAGTCGTTCAGTGGCATTTAACTCACACTGCACATCAATCCTCACAGGTCAACCAAGAGCTCCTTTTTTCCCTCCTTTATTTCAATTTTGAACATTGTCATGGAGTGAGGTCTCGTTAGTTTAATACTAATTTGCATATTGGTTTCAGTATATGAGGAATGAAGCTCTTCCATGTTTGCTCGGATAGAGAAATACTAAAAAATTATGCTCTAGTCGAGTTGCTCTGGGAACAATGAATTATTTTATGCTGACTTCATTTTTCAGTGTTCAAATTTCACACATTTTTCTGATAATTATCAAATCGTCTTGACCAGAATTATTTATGCATAAATTTGTTTTTGAAACGGTGAATTACGTCGGAGAGACGATTCCTGAAGCTTAGCGAGATGACCTTGGTGGTCATCTGTTCTGCTTGCAGACAAGGCCTTGCTACATCACCGTGGGAGGCAGAACTCAAAGTAAATATTTATGACATTTTCAAAGATTGTGATACTGTTCAATGACCAGTCGACATATGTTTGAGGGGTAGAACCCCGAGTGTCACCTTTTAAGTGTCCCAAAACTGAAATTAGAGATAGTTTGGGCAGATTAAAGTAATGCTGCTTTTGTGAGCTTTCTTCAAGCGAGACCAAGAAGGTAAACGTGAGAGAAATACTCCTGTATCTTTCAGTGTACATCGTTGCTTTTCAGGCAGATGAAAATAAACATGCCAATCAAATGTGTTCACCAGGAAAAGATTCCTTAACTTGACAGGCTCCCAATTTACCTTAACCTTTTATCATTATAATAAGTAATCATGATTAACCTGTCGATTTTCTTCACATGTCAGGTTTTCTTATTTATTTCAACCTTGTTTTCTTCCATGCGTATCCTATGTTTCTTTATGAATTTCTTTATATGTTATACCATGTTTACTCGTCGCTAAAGGATCTATCCAAAGTTCAATCTATGTGCTCCAGGTGAATGAAATTTCGTTAAATGAAAAATAATTATCCTCAGGACAAGATTGAGTTCTGTAAACACAACCCATCTTGCATATATTTTATAAAATTCTTCATAGCATAACTATATTGCTTAAATCAAACTTACAGAAGCTCATCATTGTGATCTGATTCGTGATCTGATTTGTGATCTGATTCACCTTACCAATAATACATGTTTAAGAAATTGGAAATGAAAGAAACGCGGAACAGTTTGGTCCAGGTCCATCCTCATTCGTGCTGGAATTCCTTCTAATTTCTTATTGATGGGACTAAAATCATATGGGCGACCCAGAAAATAAGTGGATGTCTAAGTTCCCTTCTAGATTAAGGACGCGAGTGATGTTTTCTGTTTGCAAATATAGGATTTACTGATTACTCGGGTAAAATGAAATTGATAGTGGGATCAGCCTTGTTTTCTGCATGTTGATATACTCTGATCTGTCCACCTACAACTATGTCGTCCTATTCATAATTAATCGAGTGAAATACGAAAGCTTGAGTTATGCATTCAATTATGAAGGTGGCCAAATCGTTGACAGAGCCCAGAAGGAATGTGCAAGCTTCATTTAAAGTACGATCTACCTCGAAAGTTGTCAGCCCTTTGGATGTCGGACGGAGGCATTACATGAACGGAAGAGTCTTAGAAACCGCGATAGATTTTATATTAAATGCTTAAATTTGCATGCGATCGAACTGGAAAAAAAAAAACAGCCAGAACGAAACCTTTCGGAATCTGATCCTTTAAGGTTCGAAATTCGTTCTCTATTCAGTAGTTGGTCTGCAGGAGATTCAGCGAAAAGAAAATCGGTATTGATTTGCCTGGGGAAAAAAACGCCGGGTGGTAAAAAAAAAAATCTTTTAACTTTCAATCCGATTGTATGTAGGAGCTTATGATGACATTTTGGAAGCAAATAGTGTAACTCAATTTGAGATGTGCGGAATTTCAAATCAAATTTCCAAATGCTAACATATTATCTAATATTCCTAGTTTACTTCCTTTTCCCCCCCGTGTTACTTCAGCTGCTCCATCACTTGCGGCTTCATTGACCGCTCACCCGATCGGGGACAACTGAGTGGACATGGCTGATGTCTCCCGAGAGGATCAGGCCGAGAGTTTCTAGGGAGTCAAGATGGTTAACGACCCTGATTCGCCACCGGTGTCCAAATCACTCCGCCTCAAGGAGTGAACTTTTTCTCCACATAGTAATTTTATAAGAGATTAATTTCTTTTCATCTGCTCATGGATGAGGTTCTCTTAAATGAACCAAGTGAAATGCACCAATTCTATTCCAGGTGTTGGGTGAGTGATACGACATTCTTCAAGCGGGAGCTCCCTTCTCCATCGCCTAGCATCTCCAAGCCTACCGGAATTCCTCGCGGAGCAATTGTCATCTCATAAGAGGCACAAAGTTCAGGTTAATTGTGCCCCATTGAATATTCAGCATCAAACATTATTTATAGATGTGGACACAATAGATGTGGTTGTAAAACCAAATCTGTTATGATTAAATCCATAGAAAGGGATCAACTAAAGTAAATCAATCTGGCTCCAGAAGCATGGTGAAATACTGGTTCTTTGTCCTGCCCTTTCCTTATCCTGGAATTCAATTGGAACAATTCCTTTCCCTCAAATCAGATAACCATGTGAAAAACCTTGCTTCTTCAAGTTTGTGATAGGAAGTTGACGTCTCGTGCATACATAAATACTTTATTTACGCAATCATTAATGCAGAAATGCACAACTATATGTATATATTTTCATGGCCAGAATCAATTGACGTAATTTTTCCTGTCAGGTTCATATGTTTCATGAGAGGAAGTGTAGGCATCGAAATTCATCTCCATAATCGCTTCTTTTGCTGGTGCAGGGCGTGCTCCAGACACTTTCATGGAGATGGGAGTTCTATTGAGGTTTACCCGGACCGAGGAGAGGCTCCTCTTGTGGCCCGTCAACTAGAACCCATAGGGCACCTGTGGGGTCAGTAGGGACATCTTGAAGTGCAGAGCTCTCAGGCTCGTTCGCATAGTCTGGAACTGTTGACATCAGAGTTTCGGATTTTTTTCCCACCGATTAGCTTACTGCCTCACTCTAGCCTGTTTCGTTTGCTGAGCCTGTTTTTGCCTCAAAAATTAATTATATTAAATTTGTGTCTCAATGTGTAATTAAAATATTACTTCTAAGCAAAGTCTTGTGAATAGGAGTGAAGGAACTTCTATACCTAACCTCAATATATACAAATAAAGTAAGCTTGAACTATGACCAAATTTTTCTAGTTGCCTTCGACTAAACTTAACGTGGCCTTGTCTACCCTAACCATCCTTAGCTAACATGGCTTTGGTTCTAACCCATGACCCTAACTAACTAACCCTAACATCGTCCAACGCCATTAAGTCACATGGCATGGTCACGTTGGGTACTTAGAACTTAGATTGAAGTGAAATAGTTCCACACTTCTCATGGTATGATAAATGGTGCCTTTTGTTGCAAGCACCATTCTAAGTTTAAAGGCAAGCACAGGACTACATTCAAATCAATTCAAATGTTCAAATCGGTGCAAACATTGTCTACTTGATTTATATATGTATATATTGAGGGAGGAATTGTTGAAGATTGCAGTGTTTAAATTTATCAATTACATGTCTTCCATCGAGCTTAATTACTTAAGATTGATGCATGGCAGCAATTATAATTGATGCTTTGTATGATAAATCGTTCTCCAATTTTGCTCTTCAATAACTACTGGAATTTGATAGATTTTGTTTGATTTTCGAATCCAGAACTAATTTAATTGGGAAATTATCAGATTCCTTGAATTTTTGGGGATATTGGATTTTCGCAAGTTTGAATTGAGAGGGACAGACTTTAGATTCATGAGTAGAACTGAAGTTAGTCCTACAGTTGAAAGCAGTTCAGTTTCCACCATTTGCAGCTGGTTCCAATAGGACAACTTGATGTTTCCTGCTGCTTCCTATACTAGACTCTGAGCTTCTCCAGTCATCGTGGCCATTTACAGAATGTGGGTGACATAAGTTGACATGGCCTAAAGTCACAAGGTCTTGGGCAGTTTGCTCCCTGGTTCAAGAAGAGTTTCCTCCCCGTGAGATCGAGAGGGGGAGAGGGGAGCGCCTTTCCTGCAGCTTCAAGGTGGTGAGAGAAAGTGGTACTTAGTTGCAACTTTAGGTCATAACAACCGTCTAAAATTTTTATTTGAAGCTCATTTTCTTTCAATTACGTTTTCTTTACCACTGCTGTCAGGTTTGTTTAGGCACGTCGATTGTGTCGGAACAGCAGGCGCAGATACCGTTACCTTGGTGGCAGCACTAGGATGGCCTCATGTCCCAGAATAACCTCTGCATTTGCTCCAGGTTCTATTCCTCCAGGCACTCCATTTTCAGCGGCTCCATGGACCGTTCCCCTAGTCGGTAACCCAGCTCCATGGGCTCCTCACCTGACCAGGAACAATTGGGTGGACATAGCTGGCGTCCCCCCAAAAAGATTGGGCTGAAGTTCTCATGTGAGGCATAATGGGCAGCAACTCTGATTCAGTACTGATGTCGCCTCAATCTGGAAAGGGACATTTCCACCAAAAATGGTTATTTTGGCGAAAGGTCCCATTCTTTTTTTGGATGAGGTTATCCCAAATATACCATGTAAAATGCACCATTTCTATTGCAGGTTTCCGGTGGGAGATAAGGCCTTTTTCCAGCAGGAGCCCCCTTCTCCATCGCCTCCCCACACAGCATCTCCAAGTACATCTGACACTCTTGCCGAACATGCGTCTTCTCAAATGCAGCAAGTAAAGGTTAATCGTGTTCTTTTAATCCTTACACATTGAAACAAAACTATAGGTTCTTCATTGTAGTTTGCGAGCTTTCTCACTGCGCGTAAATTTTCAATATACTGTATTTCTTCAGGAAAATTTTTTTTTCCCCGTACCAAATGGCAGTGGTATTTTACTCCAATTTGTCTATAGTAATAGTGTTTTGTTACAATCTGCTGTATTCTATTGGTTCCAAGACATCTACGGGGTGAGTAAAGGCGTCTTTGAACGACTGGAACTCGACAGGAAGTAAATTTTGAATCGTTTTCAAATTACTGCATTGGTTGATGTACCGCTTCCTTTTTACACTCCTTCATTTCAATACCGAAAATGTATGGTCCCATTGGAGTGAGGACCCATGAATTAAAAAAATACTAATTGTTATATGGTTTCCAGCGTATGAGGACATGAAGCTATTCCATGTTTGCTCGGAAAGAAATGCTGAAAATTTTAACTTTTACTGTCGAATTGCGCTTGGAACACTGAATTATTTCATGGTGACTTCATTTTTCAGAGTGAATTACTGGACAAATGTGGGAAAATGTATAGTCTGGTATTTATCAAATTACTTATGCATGAATTTGTTTTTGAAGCCGGTGGGTTACGTCAATGGTGAGAACTTCAGACGCTTAGGAAGATGACCTTGGTGGCTACCAGTTCCGCTTGCAGACCAGGCCTGGCACTATGTCGCAGTGGGAGGCAGAACTTCCACACGTCCTATAAGTCCAACTACTCCAAGGAATCGGATCCATATGAAAGATGTTATGGCTGTTCCCATGGAGACGCGTCGTCTGTGATCAGTGATCTGTCATCTTAAATTCACGTATTACACAATTTCAAATTGGCATGCGTTGTGTGCGATTCCCATATTCGAGTTGACTTTCTCTAAATGCGCTTTAAGTTCTATGACTGATGTTAATGACGGCTCGAAGTCCACTGTTTTACTACATCTGGTCTACATGTTTGACCGTCAATTTGAGGGGAAAGTATTCCAAATGTTTGACGGTGCTTGAAAAATGCTTAAACTAATTTTCCTCATGGCAAGATGGAATTCTGAAGGTTAACACAACCCCATCATGTAGATATTTTGGTGAAATTAATAGAATAGCCTGGTGAGTTTTAATGAGGACAATAGCCTTCAACAGTGAATAACTTTTTGAAAGAAAATTATTTTCTTGAAGTTTCAATCAAGCTGAGCTCTCAGGCTTGTTAGCATGGTGTGGAACTAGTTGCTACAGAATTTCGATTTTTTTCCCCCAACTCATTTATTAGCTTACTGCTCCACTTCAGTCTGCTTTGTTGAGCCTTGTTAGGCCTCAAATTAAATTAAATTGGTGTATAAATATGTAATTAATATACCTGTATGTAAATACTTCGAAGCAAAAGTCTTGTGGATAGGAGTGAAGAAACTGATACCTAACCTCAATATATACAAATAAAGTAAGCTTGAAATAAGATCAAATTTTTCCTAGTTGCCTTTGACCTAACCTAATGTGGCCTTGTCTATTTTAACCATCCTTAGCTAACTTGGTTTTAGTTCTAACTCCTGACCTTAATAACACACCCTAACCTCGTCTAACTCCACTAAGTCACATGACAAGGTCACGTTGGGTAATTACTACCATTGAAGTGAGAACTTCCGCCCTTCTAATTGTACGATAAGCGGTGCCTTTTGTTGCAAGCTCCAGTCCAAGCTTGATGGCAACCACGGGTCTTCATTTAGATGAATTCAAATGTTTTGTCTATCATTTATATATGTATATATTGAGGTGGTATTGTTGAAAATTGCAGTGTTTTACTTTCCTCAATACCATGTCTTCCATCGGGCTATATTATTGCATGAGATTGATACATTGTAGCAACTATATCTCAAGCTCGTTCTCCAATTTCGTTTTTCAAGAGCTACTGGAATTTCCTATGGTTTTCCTATTGTCCATTTGGCGCTGTTTCCGATTCGACAACTTTGTTCCCTGCTGCTTCCCATACTAGACGTTGAGCTTCCCCTGTCAAGGTAGTAATTTGCAGATAGGCCGTGTCAGCTTATGTCACCCACTGTCACAAGGCCTTTGGCAGAGGTTGCCCCCCTGGTGCAAGAAGGGAAAATTCATTTGCTAGATTCACGTTTAACAAAACTGATCTGATTCGTCCTGAACATCACCGTATTTGTCTTTAGTTTTCATTGAAAGAGTTTCTCTATCTGAGAACTTTATCTATGAAACTGTATGTATCAAAAGACGACAAAATCTGCTCCATATTTGTGCACCTACCTTGTTACCCCCTTGCTTGTCAACACACCCCTCCCTCCTTTCCTCGATTCTAACTACAGCTTGAAATCTCACTGTGCCATTTCGGATAATAAACAATAAAATATAGTTTAAAGGCAAAAGAGGGAAAACAGATCAATTGGACAGGCAAATTGCTACCTTTTTCTTGTATTGCTGTCCTAATGAAATTAGTCCTCTATCCTTTCGACACATAGCTATAATTTCCCATTTCGATATCGGAGGAAGACTATGGAAAGCCTCGAAACATTTCTCAAAGTTTCTCACATAGCCTTGGAGCCAGGAAATTCCGTCCCCCGATTTCCGTAGGAGGATCACTTTCCTTTTGATTCATCACTCCCAGATGAAGGAGCGGCCTTCAGATGAATTCTTATATCTTCAACAAGCATGAAGCAGTTTACGCTTGTTTCATTTCCTTGTATCTTTTCAACATTGTGAAAGCTCGGCTATTGGTTGTTGCATTTCCCGATTCCCAACAGCAAGCCAAAGTTCACCCGACGAAGGGCCAACATGACATGTTCGACCCTAAGTCGGCTTATACCAACCAATAGCCAACCATATGGGGACGAACATCCCCTTCCATGATGAGCAGTTCCCATTGTAGTATTCCACGATCGCATGAGGTAACCATAACATATAGCCTAACCGAGCCAGTAAGGAGGCCTTTTTGGGATTGGGACAACATTGCCGCAAATGTTTATTGGTTGGCATTAATGTAAATGCCGAATCTTCTGTGTGAGAATTCAGGTTAGGCCTCTAAAGCTCTGTCGAAAAGTACGTTATCTAATGAAGTATAAGGTCATCCGGAGTAAGTGGACGATCCTAATGTTTTAGTACTTACAAGTGCCGTATGCCATCAACGAAGTATGCACTAAGTAGTACTGTCATGCTAACCGTTTTTTTTATTCAGTGGTTCAACAGATCCTTCACTGAATGTGAAGGTGCCCTCATTCAACTTTCCCGGTATGATCAGTACTGCGAATTACATTTTTTGTACCATGGCAAAGTAGATTTCATGCTCTTTCCAACTAGTCCCTTTCGGAGTTCCTTACATGCACATGCTATGCTCGAGCATAGGAAGACGGATCACACTTACCCAGTAAAATTGGGAACCGGGCTAAGTGTGATAATTCATAACGTAACTCTCTCAAGTCTTCACGTCTCATTCACTCGTAGGCCTCGCTCGAAGACTAAAAATGTCAACTACGTTCCTGAAGCTGAAGCCACTCCTTGCTCTAAGTTCTTCGTCTGATTGACGCATTGTGCAGTCTCTAAAAAAAAAATTCATGGATTTGTCTCCGACCTATCCTCAGTTTCGAAATTAGGCTATATATGACATTTTTTTTTAGCATCATTGCAGCAAGAAGAATGGTCTTAGAATTTGCAACACTTCTGTCAGTTTCACAAACCTATTCGAATCAATAAGTAATTTGTTTATCTTCATAGTGCCGATTAAGGACAATTTTAACTGTTTCCAAGAGGATGGGGTTAAATGTGATCATAAAAAAAATCTGATGTCAAGGATATCAGATTTATGGACAAATAAATGGACATAGTAGAGATAAGTTTGTTAGCTAGCAAAAAATAAATATTGTCTGCTTCCATTAGCAGCCAAGTTCCAGTATAGTCAAGTCAAGTATAATTCAACTAATGGCAGCCAAGGGCTGATCATATTTGATCAACGATTTTTGCCAGATTATGGTCGGTGAGATGGAGTAAAGTGGTCGTAGTAGGGTGTCACTTTCCGGATCCTATTGAAACTAGTCCCCTATCCTTTCGACAGAGTTACCCATAATTTCCCATTCCGATATCTGAGGCAGACAATGGAAAGCCTTGAAACATTTCTCTGAAGACGTCACATAGCCTTGGAGTAAATCAGGAAATTCCGGCCCGCATGTCCGTGGGAGGATCCTTCTCCTTTTGTTTCTTAATCTCTGCCAGATGAAGGAGCAGCAGCCTTCAGATGAATTATTTCTTCAAGAAGCATGATGCACTTTACGTGGGTTTTATTTCCCTTTATCTTTTCATCATTGTGAAAACTCGGCTAACGGTTGGTGCATGTGCGGGTTCCCAACATCAAGCCAAAGTTGACCCGATGAAGGGCCAACATCACATGCCCGACAATAAGTCGGCTCCAACCAACCATAAGCCAACCATGAGGGAACGAACGTCCCCTGTCATGGTTCCATGGGGTTTTGTTACGAATGTCGTATTCCACTTCGCTCGCGACGCATTCCATACTTTTTGTGGACTTCCTTGATGGCACTGTTCACGCCTCGATGCCCTAGGGCCTCATGCACACCCTTCAACACATCGTACTCGAAAGGTAGAACGGAAGATCAAACTGTATGGCTCGAGATGAATCGCTCTCCCAAAGATGCGGACGTCGTCGTGCTTGAGGATGGTATTGTCTTGTGCTCCAGCCGGGCTTTCTTCTCCTTGACCTCAGCAGCCTTGACATCCGCGTCGAGCCCCTCGTACCTATCGATCGGTAACACGGGGTTATTGAGAGACTTGGTCTTCTCGTTGAGCTACTTCTCATAGATTTCGAGAGACATTTTACATGAATGCGTTTCAGGCAGAGACATGGTAAATATACCTAGACTGGACATAACGGTCGAAGACCTCACGCCGATTTGGAGGGCTGGCGGCCATTATTGATGGCGTCAAGGAGAGGATGAGGCATGGGATTCACCGAGGTTCACAGTAGTCGTGGTCAATGTGTTCAGAAAGATCAGAGGGAGCATCCTAATGGAGCACATTTTGGATTTCCTTGAAGGAAACGCGCTCATCCGGGACTCTCAGCATGACTTTAGGAGGTGTCGTAATTGTCTCACCGACTTGATCGTATTCTAAGATTGTGAGACGGAAAAGAGAGATGAGGGGAATCCAGCGGACATCGCCTATTTAGATCTCGCTAAACCTTTCGATACCTTTCGTCCCTCACAAGAGCTTGCGGGTTAAACTGGAGGCGCACGAGATCTAGGGTAGGACGAGCGAGTGGATCAGTTGACTGTTGACGGGAAAAGAACCACGAGTAAATGGGGAAGCGTCGGCTGAAGTCGGTGTCGCAAGCAGGGTCCCTCAGGGCTCGGTCCTGGGACTACTTCTGTTTCTGCTCGACATAAACGTTTTGGAAGGAAACGCGATGCAATTCTGTTGAATGAAGTAGACCCGCGTGGAATGTGGATTTCGAGGGCGCCAGGCGACGTGCAAGTGGACTGGTGTGGGTTCGACGCTGTGCCGGCTGGAGTTGTCATTGGGTTCCATGCCCATTCCTGCCCGAACTCGAAAGTATGCGTTTTACGTAGTAATCCAGGAACTTGGTCTCATCGTTCTGAGCGTAATAGCCCTTTTTTTCCCTCTGTTGCATTGGGATGCAGTTGGTAGGCCCAATTCCTGATTCGTTTCATGGCTTGGTCTAGTAATGATAAAGGGTGTCCCTGTAAAGGGTGTCCAAGATTTCCTGTCATTTTCATTTCTTCATTTCTAGCAAAAGAGGTTTATAATTGCTTTATTACAATCGTGATTCATGTATGTTCTTATAACAGATAATATGAATGCAGTCTGCTGTTTCTATCGAGAGGAAACCATGTATTCTATTCCTTGGCTTTCACTTAGGAAGTTAAAGCGTAAGAAAACAAATCGGCGGATTTTGTGGCATATCTTCGAACTTCACCGGGAAAAACGGTTCGTTGAATCGTCACGCCCGTCGACGGAGAAAAATGGTCTCTAAAAACTGGAGCATTCTTTTCCCGGTTCCATGTTTCTAAGGAGAGAAGCTGATTTGGGAAACGCAAATCTAACAAAATGGCGCCACGGCGTCTCGAGGAGCAGAGAGATGATCACAAGATTGGGCTCATCCCATGATCACCTCCATCAAACAGGACGAGGGAGAAGCGAGAACTCCTGGCAGGAGTTCTCACTTTCTTCAGGATGGAGATGGGCCTAATTCTTAGTCAGTCATGTATTAAACCCTCCCAACAAACCTAACTCGAGCATTGGATCATGGTTTTGCCTTTTCTCACCTCCAGGAGTTTTGGCCCCTTTGGAGATCAGCAGAGGATGCGTAAGGAATCTCTTCCAATGCTTCTCGGCAGGGATGCATTCACCATATCGTGCTGTCCCATGAACATGCCTCTTCCAAGTGAGTTCTGTATCGTGTAGGAGAGAACTGTGTGAATGCCTTTAAGTGCCATCTAAAATTAGGAACTTATGTATGATTCCTACCTAACCCTCATCTGGCAGATTATGATTTCATGGAGACGGAAGGTGGAGCTTGCCTACACCCAGCTTTAATCTTATTCCTGGAAAATGTGGAAGGTGGTGAACATCATGCATCACATCTCATCTGAACTTGCAAGATATCGAAGACTTGTGGAACATTTTTTACTTGTTTCAAGATATTGCAGTGTGACTCATACATTTGTTGTCCTTGATTCTGTATGCATCATATAGTATAATACCTTACATTGAGTTCGAGTGCGTTGTGAAAACCCTGTTTCCAGCATAAAATGCTTTTAAAAACCTCAGTATTGAGTATTTGATGATTTAATTGAAGTTGAATTGATTTTAAATGAAGGTGCTCCTCACTTTTCCAGTAAATAATGATCTCAGGTTTCCCCAATTGTTGGTTTGAAGAATTCGCCATGACCTCAGACAATAAATTGCTATATATGCTCATAAAAGAATATACCGTTGTTTGCTTGAATTCCAAAAAATGGAAAAGGAAGGACTCTACCTATAAAATGTATCTATCATTCTGGAGTAGTCTTACAGATGAAGAAAGCAAGAGAGTAATCCTCAACCTTCAAATATCGACCGAAGGGAATACCTGCCACTTGGCACCGATTCACTTCGGTCTGGATCATGCGCACAGACATGTTCAAGATCAAAGGAAATAGATACCAAATGAAAAAAAAACTTTCAAAATGGTCGCCCCCAAGCATATTGACACTGACATTCTCAAGTACTGTAGTATCTATTGGAATAACGAGTAATTTCCCTTTTCCAAGCGGACATATCTACAGGAGGCATGGAGATGGTATCCATGACAATTGACATGGACCAAAGCATGTTTTTGGCAGGAAAGTGGGACAAAGTCTGTGTCGGCCAAGTAAGAATCAAACAGGTACCGTATACCCAATTGAAATATTAAAACCTTAATTGAAACTTGTTTGCGCTCGCCGGCTTCCTGGAGCCGTTCGCGAGCGCTTTAAAAAGAGTAAAGACGATTAATGCCGTGACGATGGAGTAAGTCACCCTGCAATTCCGCATTTTGAGCGACGGAAACGGATGGGTTTCCTTACAGAACCCGTAAGAGAGTAAGTTGGGACGAGCTCACGAATCGCCCCGTAATCCATCGCGCTGGCTTGAAATCCCCCAATTCCCAGCAACAGGCGGGAGGCACTGCGGTGAGTGGCGCCACCGCCCCCTAACTAATCTCGCTGCAACTCTCGTCTCCCCATCCATACTGAAGATGGCAAGACGAGTGCCCCCTTCTGATTGCCTAATCCTTAAGTTTATTTCTACAAGGCATATATTCGGGTGATCAGGAAGATTTCTGTGAAACTCCCGAGTTTCTCAAAGCATTTGACTTGTGGAAGTGTCGCAAACACAGAAACACATGCATGTCGCTCGGCCCAGCTAGCGGCCGGGATAGAGGTGTTTAACTGGTCCTCCACTTTGAATAATAGCAGTCTTTCGATAGGCACTAGTCTATAAAAGATCCCGTGCGACTTGACGATGTTCTCAATGGTTCACGCCTCCATGCCGCGTGGAGACGGAGAGTATCAAGTTAGGATGCCTGATGCGGTACTCCTCGCATACACTCAGTAAGCCTCCCAACGCGATCGGCAGCAGCCGCTCTCTCCTTGGAGGTAATGTCTACGATGGATCCCTCATCTACGAGGGCTAGAAGGGAAATGGAAGTTTTAGTTGTAGAATTTCCCCCTGACCAAGACGAAATGCTGTACGTGCGCACTGAGTCGTGTTTTACTGTCGCTATTGATATTGCGGACAGACGCAATGAAAAAAAAAAGGTGGCAGATGGATTGCAACATCTGCCTATGAGAATGGCAGATAATGACCCCGAAGTGATTATAATCCTATGGAAACTTGTGCTTCAATATACCGTAAATACAGTAATTATGCACCGTGTTAATTGCGGATGAATCGTGAATGCAGGACAGGGCGCGTGGAATTTTTATTCTTATTTCAGTGTCCTTCCTCTCTCCCTTCCTACCTCGCTGGCAATCCTGTTCCTTCGCCTGCCTCGCTCCCTCTCGCACGCACATCCCCCCTTGCCTGCTCTTATCTGTCCTCTCTTCTACCTCGATGGTCTCCTACCCCACGATAGCATGATGCAATCGTCCCTCGTAAAAATAGTCATTGGCAGACGCGAAAAAATGATCTATTCGAAGGCTGCAGGAATACTGATAGCGCGACTGGTGGAGAAAGAGTATCTGCGACCGAACGATTCTTAGTCGTTGCCCCATCGCCTATCGAGAACGGCATGTGCATGCATACATTTATATTGGTAACCTAGAATGTCATGTCCCGAGAAGAAGAATAAAAAGTTGACGTTCCCGCGGTGAAGTGATTGATATTTTCAAAGCCACGCGTGGGAATCGGGGTCTTTCACTTCGATCCATGGCCTCGAATCGGGTTTGAGACCTACTATAATACATTTTCAGTTTTCATGAAATGTATTATAGCAATAAATAGATTATAACTTTTATTCGTGAATTCACTGGCTAATTAAAGCTTGGATATGGTATGAAAATGATATGAAAGTGCCAGGTTAATATCCTCCCACATCCTAATTTCATTTGAATTCTCAACTGCTCATGAGGTTTACTGCGTGAGAACCTAGAACCGAGCTGTCTTTCGGTGAGGTCCATGCCTGCCTTCGTTCTTCCTCCGAGAGACTCTCAGCTAATGACCAGAAGTGAGGATGGACGGGAAAGGGAAAACTTAAATGAAATGCTTATAACATTACTCATCACGAACTCAAACCTGAGTTAGAAAGGGAGAGGGAGATGTGAGAGAGAGAGCGAGAGGAGAGATGGTGAGAGCAGAGAGCGCGGGGAATGTAGATAGTAAGGACCGTGCACAAGGGCATCTCCCATTTCCAGCTTTTCCTCGTCTATGCGACTCTTAGTTGTGTCACTCCCAGCTTTTCCTCTCGCACTGCGCCTGTTCTTGTCTTGTAGAAAGGAAGCTGCTTCTGTTCCACCATTCGCAGTGTCAACTCTCGGTGTCATTCTTCTGCATCCCTGTAAGTGATCGATTTCAGTTTGCTGGGTGGACGATCGAGTACTTCGAGCATCCCTGAACGGGGACGGCCTGTATCAACCTGACGGTTTTAAAGTCATGTTTTGGGTGGTATACTGTTATGTCTCTGATAGGTTTCCATTTCTAGGAACACTTTCCCCTCTAAAAAGTCAAACCCTACGAAGGGGTTACGTAGTAATGTGAAAACTACTTTCAAAGGTTTTCCTTTTCATCAAACAAACCCCGACCTCAATCTCACTTTAACTCTCTCCCCCCCTTTCTCCATGGAACTCATTAACGTAGGACCTAGACCTAACAGACGGACTGTCTTCAGGTCAGAACCTAGGCAAATCTTTTTTCTTTGGAAAGAAATACTGGTCAAATTAAGCTTACAGTGATTAATCCCTGGTCTTCGTGACATCTAATAATTCTAAATTCTAAATTCTAAACTCTAAATTCAGGTTCTCAATAGGTAATTATGCATCAAGTTTCAACTTTATATTTCTGCTTAATTCAGTATGACAAAAAGTTATTGAAAACGGCACTCCCCCCCAAAAAATATTCCCCCAGGGCATGCATCTGAAAATTGACATTTTTCCTGAACTGAGTGTCTCAGCAAGCATGTCCATGCCAAGTTTCAGCTTTCCATGTCTCTTCGTTTGAAGCAAATATGTATCATTAAAAACATCTCCCCAAAAACGGGTGCCCCCAGGGCATGTACCTCCAAATTCGGATTTTTTCCGAACTCTGCATCCCAAAAAGTACAAACGTACCAATTTTCAGATTTCCACCTCACTAAAAACATGGTTAGGTGCAGCGACAGTCACTCAGTCACGATCAGATATATCCAGAGTGGGCCAAAAAAGGATACCTGTTTTAAAAAAAAGTCATATCTCTTAAACTAAGAAGGGAATTATGAAAAAATACCAAAATAATGTAAACTCAATTCTCTTTCTAATGATGTTGTGCTTTTTGCTAAACGGGAAATTATTTTTACCATAATTAGCGTTTGAAAAAAATTGCCCCTGATAAAACTTGCACAAAAAGAAAGTTGCCTGGATTCATCGCCTCCTCTCCTGTTTTTTTGTTTCTCGTTACTGCACAGCATTCTCATACTGAAAACAGTAAACTTCATCTGTCTCTTATCGTTCCCTCACCATTCCTCCCAACAGCCCGCCGCCCTCGTCAAGCAGGACCACCGGATCAAATTTTGAATAAGAGTTATTTGTCCAGCACCAGCAGTTTTAACTTTTCTTTTAATCAGCATCCTGATTATTCTTGACCGACTGGGGTTCTTCTTTATTACTTGTGATTCATTATTTAAATGTTTTATTAATTATTCTAAGGCCTTTTCAAATGATTTTGAAGGAAAGTGATTAATGCCTGATCCAGGCGCTCCTGGAAGAAAAACTCTCTTCAGTGAAAAAAATTCTTACCGAATATCCTGTTCGCAATTGGAAAAAAACCAACCGTCGCAGCTGTTTCATGGAAACTTCGTGAGCACGGTAGTGGAAAGCGTCTTGCTGGAAGTGGACGTCCCAAGAGTGCAAGAACTCAAGAAAACATTCAAAGAGTTGGTGAAATAATCTGCAGTCAGGAAAGACACCCAAGGACGAGTCTGAGTGTGCGAAGCATTGTGAAGAAACGGGAATAAAACGTGGTTCGGTGAGGAACATCATTAAAAAAGACTTGAAGCTGAAAACCTTCAAGCGAGATCCCGTGCAGGAATTATCTGAGCGAGTGCAAAAAAAAGCGCTTGGATCGCTGCAGAATACTTCTCGACCCATTTCCCTCGGCAGGCAAAATCTGGTTCTCAGATGAAAAGCGATTCACTGTTGAGAGACGTCGCAAAGCCCAAAATGATCGTGTCTATGCAGCTGTGGCCAGGAAGGATGCTGTCAGCCCTGTGCGACTACTGCGTGAGAGAGCTCATTTCTCGGACTCTGTGATGGTATCTCTGGCTGTTTCTTCAACGGGAAAAACAAGAATTTATTTGATCAATCGTGGTGTTAAAATCAACTCGCAAAGCTATTGCAGTGACTTTCTGCCTGCAATGTTACCAGAAATTACCGACTACACCTTCATTCAAGATGGAGCTCCTGCTCACAAAGGTAAAGCTACAATTGACTTTCTTCGGGAAAATTGTGCGAGCCAGGCAGCTGGTCGCCTAACAGTCCCGATCTGAATCCTGTGGATTATTTCGCGTGGTCTGCTTTAGAAAAAAAAGTGCACCGTGGACAGAGAATTCATAGGATTGCGAAGTTGAAGGAACGAATTTTGGCCGCGTGGGAAGAATTTCACCAAACCTCAATTGCGAAAGCTATTGGTAAATGGCGAGGACGATTGCGGGCTGTTTTACGGCAAAGTGGTGGCCATATTGAACACTTTGTGGCTATGATAGATGAACCGGAAAGTGAATTTTTATAATGCAGGACAACGCGTACTGTCACAAAATAAAATAAAAATAAAGTATAATGTGTATAAATTCAATTGTGCAACTTCATTTTGGGGATTATTCTTTTCAAACTCTAGATACGGCAATAATAATTGTTCGTTTGGCAAAAACCACCACATCATTATAATGAGAAGTGAATGATCATGTTGGTATTTTTTCATCACCGTGGCATTATTAGCTTAGGAGATATTACATTTTGAAAATAGGTATCTTTTTTATGCCCACCTTGTATAGTGTGGTTTAAAAAAAAACGCTCTCCCACTTCCTATGGGACAAACACAGTTTCATAAATTCAGCAAAAAATAAATCAATTCTATACGAGACCAATATTTGGCAGTTACAAGGTGTTGACGTGGTTGACAGCTTTTTTTCAGCACCCCTGCCGAAGTCGTGCGATGCCCATTTAGAGGTGAATAAAAGGTGCTTAGAGGTGGCTCATTCCACCTCAAATGAAGTAATTATGCTCGACCGTCTCAGAATTCATTGAACTTTTCAAGTTAAACTTTCCAAGGGACAGTTGGATCCAGCTGATACTTGATGGAGGTTCACGAGTGTTAGATGTTTTTTTTTCACTTCCTCAAGATGGCGCTGTATCCCGATAGAGGGCGCTGTTGTTGATCGGATGACCAAGGGTGATTTTAAAAAGGCGTAATGCTCCACCTGTTAACTATGTAACGGGACAATACTTGGCTCAGAGAATTCTCCAGAAGAAAATGCTCGAAAATCATTTCAACACCTCCTATGTGTCTTATATCAATAGTTATTTTATCTAATGATTTTTACTTGAATGCACGAATCGTACTTTCTCCCCTTTGAAAACGATGGAGCTTTCTGTAATCACCCTCGGTCACACGGTCGCAACAACCCCCTCTATAGATAAACAGCGCCATCTAGGAGAAGTAAAAAAAAAACCTTTAAAAACTCATGAATCCATCTGTCAAAATATCAGCTGGATCCAACAATCCCCTGAAAAGTTAAAGCTGAAAATGACCTTGAATTCTGAGACGGTCAAGCACATCACCTCTACATGGGCATTGCACGACTTAAGCAGGGGTGCTGAAAAAATGCTAGCAAGCATTTCAACACCTTGTAATTATCAAATATCGATCGCGTATCCAATGTAATTTTGTTGCTGCATTTATGAAATTGTGTTTCTCTCATAGAAAACGGTAGAACGATTTTTTTTTTAACCTCCCTAAATTATGCTTACTTTGAGGGGCAGGCTGTTAAGGGGGAATCGCAATGCGCCTTTTTAACGAGCAAGTTTATGGTAATGACTTGAACAACGCCCAGTTCTTGGTTAGCCAAACGGGATTTTTGCCTTAAGCCTATGTTAGCATGTTAAACCCAAGCTTCTAATAATGCTTTTATTCGCATTTCATGGACATCATGGTCTACCCTTGCATATCTCCATGGTTCTGGAGATGTTCTTCCTCGTATTCCAATAGGTCTACGCGTACTTCCTTTGTATTTTTAGTGGCCTCCTTTCCTGAAAGGAAAGAGACCTCTTATGCTCCCGTCCTGTCCGTCCTTGTGTCCGTGTGTTACGCTTTGATTGTCCGACAATAACTAAAAATATATTAGCCTGATCAGTGCGAATATTAGCAAGCAGGTAGATATGAACAAGATACTGAGTGAGCTCGTTTTGTTGCAAAGTTTCACAAAATGTGACATTTTAATGGAAATTTTGGATTTGAAATGTTGGCCCCAGAGAGGTAGACATGAGCTCCCATGAACCCATCAGGTTCTTGATCACAATGCGCATGCGTTTACGGCCCAGGCTTTGGGCACAGCACCATCTCAGCAACGAGAGTTGTCAGTTCCCTACCAACATTTGTGGTGGTTTGATCCAACCACGTACAGCCCTCCATCCTCCCATCATCGTTTCATGGGAACTGTTTTTCTATGTTTGCCAAATATAAGTGAGCAACGAGGTTTTTGATGGTCAAAGATCGGAAAGAGATGGTATTTTGCACATCAAGGTGACAAAATTAGGGTTTCCTTAGCTTGAAGGAGACCCACTACTATATTGGGTTTGCCCAACTTTCTTTTACTACGTTCTATCCTTTGTACGTTGAATCAAAATGTGCAGAGTTCTTTTGTTTGCATATGATACCCACAACTCAGCCCCACGTGTCGAAATTATGACAATTGCTGAGAATATATAGCCAACATTTTGCAGTAGTTGGGGCTTAGGAAGTTGCGTGGACAATGTAAAAATTAGGCCTTCTCTCCAGTGATCTCAAGATATTACCAATATCTCGTCATAGCTGAATGGTACTGATACACATGGAAGTACGGTTATGATTAAATGTACCATTTAGCTTTACGCAATTTTGTGTTTTGCAAATACTTGCAGGTCGCGACAGACATGGTGATAGTACAAGTATGTCTGAGCAGGATGATGGAACAAGGACGACGGAGGCACACCCAAATAAAATTTATATCATGCCTAAATCAGTGATCAAGGTATGTTAAAGTCAAATATTATTTGCATCCCATTGACAAATCTTCCAGAAATTGTTACGTATGAAAGTCCTTTCTCCTCTATGCGACTATTCTAGAGCAGAAGATGGGAAGATTGGAATTGATGGCAAGGAACACCCCTACCTCATTTCATTGAGGTGGGAAACGATGTCAAACGATCTTACTGGTCTCGCACCAGGAGAGGTAAGCCATGTTAGTAAGGTTTGGAGCAGGACATTACTACTTGACCTTGACGAAGCGAATTGAAAGGGACGAAATATCCCATCCCATGTCCTTTACATGAGAAAAAAGCTCTTCACTATGTCATCCCTATCCATCTCATCGTTTCCAAGGTGCATTTTATTTGTACTGTCTGGTAAAATATAGGGATCGGTAGAGGTATGAAATCCGCGAGCATGAACATGTCCTTAAACGATCATTTCAATACGCACAGAAGGTTGAAATCTCAAGACAACGTACAATATGAACATATTAATCTCTGGACCAAGTAAATAATCTCTAAGTGCAAATGAGTATTGAAGTTCGCGAATAAACTGAAACTGCTAACAACTCACAAGATTACTTTCAAACATAAATGTGACACAAGCTCCCCAATGCGATACAAGAGTCATACGTACCAGCAGTCTTTACCTTCTTCATCGCACCTCGTCTTCATAGTCAGAGTCCCCTGCGGGTTCTAAATTAAGAAACATGAGATCCTAAAGAGATGCTTGACATGTGTTAAACGTTTTCAAAAGTCCTGTCAGCAGGGCTGAATGCGCCGTCAGTTGTTTCATGTGCCTCTTCAATGGGTCCTTCTGCTCCTCATGCGTCATCATGAAATCGCAGCGCAAATACTTACAGACTCGACAGATGGAACAGATCCTCCTGGGTCCATCTCCCATTTATGAAAGTCGAAAATCTTGCCTTTCCTTTTGGTTGATCTGGTTTTTGATCACCTGTATTGCTTTGTATCTGCGCTCAGCTGTATTTTTGACAGGCTTTGCTTCTGTCTCATGACACCGAAGAATGAAGAAGTCATAGCGAGACACGTTTTCTGAAATTTCAGAGCAACAGGTTGATAACCACGGCATACATATGGGCACTGGGATCGAAAGTAATGACTTAGTGATCAATCACTTGTCTATTTTCATAAGAATACATGGAATGACTTGAACGAGAGGGTTCTGCACTGGCAACCAACAAGTCTGACTTTTCCATGCATTTTTCAATATTTCTCAATAGGTGGGTTTGTGACGGACTTCTTTCACAGATGCACGACAAACTGTTTCATTTGAGACCAATAAGATTTCAAAACCGAGCCACGTTGTCAACATGAAAGAAAATAACGATTATTGAGGATGAATATAGTTTTCATGAAGCAAGAAACAGTTATTTGATGTTTTTTTATAATATAGAGTGAAGGATCTGAAGGAATGTGCAGGAACTGCAAGGCGTTTTCACATTTCGGAAGACTGCAGAGTTATGAAAGACGAGGAAAATTGGACATCCGGCACCATCTGAAAATATACATGGGGGCAGATGACGAGCGACCGTTAAGGGACGCCGCGGGAGAGTATGTAGCACTTCACTATCCGGAAGCATATACGAAGGCGTATTCCCTTCCTGAGGGTTACATTTTGCCCAAGAGGAAATTCAACGACTTGAAGTCAAAGGCTCTCAAGGGTAGGGAGGATGTGGATATACCGATCGATCGGCTCTCCGTCGCTGCAGTGTTTGATATACTTAAAAATGCACTGAAGTACGTCCCATCACTCACGGTCGCAGATTACGCCTTCACCGATACCTTGCTCAAGGGCGTTAAGCAGCAACAAAAAACGAGATTTATTAAGAACTTCGGAGTCACTGAGGAAGATCTGCCATCGGGTGATCATGATGTTTTCGGGACTGGAATATCTGGCAGCAGCATCATCGGACTTTTCTTTCAAATCAAGGGAACAATATCTGGAGTAAACCCCAAGGGAATTCTTGATAACATGGCCATAGCAACAAAACAACTAGAAAAAGACCTCAACATTTTCCGTACGATGTGTGGTGAATTCCTGAATCCCATCGTGAAGTTAGCGGGATTTGTAGCTTTCCCCATGCTCTCCAGATCAGATATCCAAAAACGTATCAAGTGCATTAATTGTAGAACACGAATCCTCGTCTTTGAAGATCTTGCTAAACCGAGAAGTTTTAGGAGATTTTTAGCGAGACAAGGGATTGTGTTGGAGAAGTATTATCCTGATCCTGAATCCCATATCATGAAAACATTCAAGAATATATTCGACCTGTACGTTTGTGCTGCATCAGCTGTGGACCTACCACGTAATCTGCATCAACTGTTCAACAAGAGCGAAGAACAAATGGAGAAGATGCTGGTGCTTCTCACTCCTCAACAGAGAAAATTGGTGATGACTAAATCGAAGTTTATATTCCTCTCTGGAGGAAGTGGAACTGGGAAGACCTTTGTCCTGAAGAAACGAGCATTGGAATTGGCGGCGGAAGGTGAAGTCTTGGTCATCAATATAGCCGGAGGACTCTTGACTGAGGAATTTCGACACGACTTCGAAGGTGAGACAACACTGTTCTAGGAGGAACAAATTTGCCAAATTCATTGCATTCATATTAAATTGTAAAAGGAGAACTGATGAGAAGCCATGTCACCCCCGACATTCTGGCTATTTCTAAGTGAAATATTGCATGCAAGCAGAATATCTGCGTACATTTGAAATATGTAATCTTCGACTGAGTTCACTTTCATCAAAATTGACAATGTCAAGGAATGATATCTAACTTCGAATTGCACATTGCAAGAATTTTCGAATCACACAAACAAGGCTACCGCATTCTGGGTAAACAGGTATTATGTGATTAGAAAAACTGGAAACCAGGTACAGTCAACCAAATTAGGAAGTATGTAGTTGGCAGGAAATATTGCAACACGCCAGCACAACCTTCAAATCCTTTTTTTGTAAATCCCCATATTTTCTAATTTGAAATCACTGATTAACAGTACCCTTAATATAATCCACAACATTAAAACCATTTTCCCGGCTAAATATCCTTCATTGGCCCAAACAAGTGAAAATTACTAGTGGTTGGAGAAAACATGTGGATTTATCGACAAAAAGTATTTAAATGTTAATTTGAGAGGTGTCGTGAATGTGCTGTTGCAGATGGAGATTACATATAAGAGTTAATGATCCTTTATGTTGCCTCCAACAATGTGTCAGATTTTACTTTTATAATATTGGAAAGTTACATTGATGAATGCACGACTCTCAAGGTCAAAAAGAGGAAATTTTCAAGTGGTTTTCACGTGAGTTACTCCTAGAGGTCATATCTACGAGAAAGGTCTATTTAAAAAAGTCATAATTAGTATCAAACGCAAATTTAAAATGGGCTTTCAAATGCTATTACTAACATTTCCCTCAGGTAAGGGATCTCAAAGTTACAATGGTATTCCAGGCACTTGTTGACTGCCCTTCGTGCTGTATATCCAAACATGCATTACTTTCAAAACACCCCGCGATCTATGAATTTCTTCAAGTGCAGCTTCCGCCAGAAAATGTATATTTATAGCATAATTTCTAGTATGTAAAGTTAGTAAATGACCNTCTAAAAATGCGAAAAGAATCTCAGTACAAAGTATCATGGACGTCATGAATGATAATTCCGAATGCTCTGCATTGATGCTTACTTCCGCATATTCAGGCATCCATAAGAAACTTCTTGCCCACATACAGCAAAACGAAGCTTCATCAGGCTTGACCTTGCAAGCGAAGAGTTTGCAGACTTCATCAATGCCTGCAGCTATTGTCTGGGGTTCGAAGATTGTTTACTTGAACCATAAGTGCTCTGGCCGACATTGGGGGTATCTCTGCAATGAGGAGGAAAGATGTGAAAGTATTGAACCTGTTCTGCCCTTCCTTCTTTTGTTCGCCCTATCAAGAGCAGGGGGATGTGATATAACAGAGATGGAGCCCAATGCAACGGAAGGCGATGTGATTTACGTCCTATTTTCGGACGACGATCTATTAGCTTCCTTACAGAGTCAAGTTTACAAACGACTGGGAGAAAACCTTCGAACAAAATTCTTGCACTGCAGAGATTTTTGGGGGTGTGAGGCTTCCTCTGTCATCTCCGTGAATGTTGATGACAGTTTCCTGCTCGAAGTATTGTCACGCGGCCGTATTCAGCTCACTTTAGTGGACACCACCCCAAATCATAAAGATTTGTGGACAGCAATGGCCGACGAAGGACGCACGGATGATTGTCCCGTGATATTCCCCGAATGGCCCAAAGACCACGTGATGGACCTGCAGACTCTTCTTCGAATGGAGGGTCAAGTGCATTTCCTACAGGTGAGTCAATCCTATGCTTGCATACTGCATACCTCACATTTCCCCTCCCCTCACCAACAGTTTTAGATGCGAAAGTTTTAGGGAAATCCCTATCATATTTTCAATTATTATATTATAATTTTGGAGACATCTTTTCCCCAAAGCGAGTGATAGGTGGTGTAGTGTTAGGGATGCAGGGTGTGAAAGAGAGAGTCGACTGAATGTTCTGGGTTCGGTGGTGCAGTGGCAGCACACCTAACCGTCAATTGAAAGGCCCGGGTCCGAGTTCCAGCCTTTCCCTGGTGTACTTTCCTCCCCATGCCAACCACCTTTTCCTCTACAGGCCGCTGGCCATCACAGTGGCATTGTGCGGTTGTGCTTCAGATTAATTCATGAATTCCTCTAAGATATCATGAACTGATTTTTCTGTTCAACTAGAATCAATTCCTAAAGACTGGGGTGTTGTGAAAGAACGCTGCACCCAAACTTGTTGATCGCGACGTCTACATGCACATTTCGTATATATTTCCTATATATATTTATTCCTGAAGGATATATTTCATATTCGCAGGAAGGTTTCAAGGTTGAAGCAGAATGTAAGGAGTGCGTGAAGTCTTCGTATTTAGCACGACTCCAAAGTTATGAAAGGAGAGGAAACTTGGATATTCGAAAACACCTAAACATATACTCTGGGAATCGAGCAAAATCACTTGACAAAACTCCGTGGAAGGATGCAGCTGACAAATATCTGGCAGAACATTATCCTGAAGCTTACACAAAGGCATATTCGCTACCCGAGGGCTATATCTTGAGTAAGCAAGCATTCAATGAATCTCGCTCGAGAGCTCAGAAGGGTAAAGATGTGGGCATATCTGGTAGGGTGGCCACCGCCTTGGTGTTCACCAGATTGAAAGATGCTCTTAAGGAAGTGCCATCTCTCACGCTTGCGGGGTATCTCTTTGTAGACACATTCCTGAAAGGTATCAAGCAAGAACAAAAGGATAAATTCGTAAAGGAGCACGGACTCTCACAAGAAGATCTGACACCTGGATGTCACGATGTATTTGGCACTGTCATATCTGGCGATGAGGTCCTGGTCCTTTTCTTTCAAATAAGAGTGGCAACAAACTCCAAAACTGTCAACGGTCCGCTTGCTAGAATGGCGAAACAACTCCGAAGAGATTTCAGCATTTTTCAGACAATGTGTGGCGAATTCCTAAGTACAAACGTGAAGTTAGCAGGCTTCATGGCATTTCCAACGTTGTCTGAATTTGATTTAAGGAAATACATCAAGTGCAGGGAATGCAGGGCTCGGATTCTCACCTCAACAGATTTGAGTTCTATGAGAAGTTTCCGCAGGTTTTTGAGGAGACATGGGATCCTGCTTAAAAAGTCCTGGGATCCCAAGTCCCCAACTATGGAAAGTTTCAAAAACATATTTGACTTCTACGTTTGTGCGGCATCATCGCTTAACCTCCCTCGCAGTCCCGTACAGTTGATCACCCAGAGTAAGCAACAGATGCGGCGGATGCAAGAATCCCTAACACCCCAAGAGACAGAGTTGGTGATGAGTCAATCAGAATTCATTTTCATGTACGGCGGCTGCGGTACGGGAAAAACGTTCTTGCTCAAGAAAAGAGCTTTGGAGTTAGCGAAGAGCGATGAAGTCTTGGTCATCAATTTCTCTGGAGGACAACTGACGAGGGAATTTCGATGTGAATTCGAAGGTGAGATGGAGTTATTCCTCCCAACTTTCATAGTGAATGAACTGTGCCAAGCTGAAAGAACGTCATGGGTGTCTTTGCAGGTAGTCACATCGTCGTGTTAGATGGGAAGGAGAAGGACATCCCAGAAGACTTCAATGGGTTGTGTCACTTCCTACAGGCGGAAGGGATGGGGAAACACGTACTGCTTGACGAAGTTCCCATAACGTTTGGCATTCGAGGTTGCTTGAATGTGACGAGATTATCTCAACATTGGGAGAGAATTTGCTGTCTAAGGGGTCACATCAAGAGTCTCACCCTAGCATTTTGTACCTTTCATTCCACCTACACCAGGGACATCGATCTGCAATGTCTCCAGGTTCCAGGAGTCTGCATGGTGATGCTAGATGCAATGAAAAAAAAGACACGATATGTGACAGATTTGATATTCGCTCTTGATGACTACTCCCGCAAGAAATTCTTCTGCTTTGAACCTAGCATAATACACACAGATTTCGGCCACTCCAAGGATGAGCTGCTGCCAACATCGTGTACAATTCCCCCTTGCCACATTCTCCACGACATATGCTGGTCACAGTCCATCTGTGAGATTGTAAGATCCTCTTATGTCATAGTTAAACTTTTGCAAAAGCATTCCATCAAACTGGAAAAGGTCCCCTTTCTTGTTGTGGACAGCATGGAACGTCGGAATTATCTTGTAAATATTTTCCCATGCATACATGACATTAGCGTCGTTTTCTTTGACGAGAATGGAACAGCCTGGGTAAAGGCATGCACTAGTTCCGGTTTTGCCATAGTGATTGTCACTGATGACCAATTCCTAGGATATCATCCGGACAACGTCATCATTATCCTAGACCTGCCGCAATGCAAGTGGAGAAATTACACTCGCATTATATCATCATGCCATGACAATATTACCATCGTCATGGAACGTGAAAGTCTTCATATGGGAAAGTATTCTTTCTTGAAACTGAATCATGAGGATATAGAAGAAAACGAGGAAATCAAGGGAAAATTGGAAATAGCGCAGCAAATACCTCAGGTGGAGATAGCACATGTGGACGAGAAGACGTGCCGACTGATCCAGTTTCCCCTCACTCTTGATGGCAAGGGTCTCCCGCTTGCCAGCAGTCCACCACGATGCACTGTTATCTTTGGACCGCCTTCTTCAGGGAAAAGTATGATGCTGCTTGAAAGTGTGAGAACGCTTTCCCGCGTGCGATATAATGAAAGTATGAGTGTCCTTATACTCTTAGGAACCATTCTTAGTTACAAGGTCGCTCTGAGTTATCTTGACACGTGCCCTGAATTTTCGAAAGTGGTTCGATCAGATGTTTCTTCTCCGCAAGGAATATTTGCAAATGGTTGGGTAAAGAGACTCAAGGAGGAGTATCCAAATTCAACTATCCATGTTCATGTAGACGATTATTCTATTCAGGCCTCTGACACAGAGGAAGAGATTCGGATGTGGAGGAGGGCCTTAGAAGACTTCCAGAATGGGGATCAGAACATGACTGTGACAATTGTATTTCAATCCCATGCGAGAAATGGTCTATGCATAGATATAGACGAGCTGAGATCCTTTCTTCAGTCCCATTCTTGGGTGAACGTCGTCACACTCCCCATATCAACGTGGACTGTTCCCTCCTACACGAGCCCACAGCTTCTCACTCACATTTCCACAAATGAAGCCAAACTTCCCTCGAGACGAGAACGAAGAAGTCTCAACACAGCCTCCATCCCATCTGCCCTCGTATTTGGACCAAAGCCCAAATACTTCAAATACAAATGTACCGGCCGACATTTGAATTTTTCATGCAAAGGTCAGATGTATTGTGAACTACTTCTGGGTGTGCTCGTCTGCTTCCGTTCCATCCTAAACCAAGAAATGGACCAAGATCCCATGCACGTGCTTGTGTCAGACGAGACACTCATGGTAACTCTGCAGAATTGTGCCCAAAATGAATCTAGGGAGATCATTTTTCTTCACCCAAGGGAATTCAGAGGTAGCACTGCTGACAGCATCGTCATTGCGAATGTAGATGACATGTGGATGATGGAAAGCGTCTCCAGAAGCGCAATATATCTTGCCATCATTGATACTTCGCCAGGTCATAATCAGATTTGGGATACTTTGGAAGAAGAAGGATTGTTAGATGTCTTGGAAATCACAACTGATCGCATGCAAATAGACCAAGAAACCATCTTCATGCTGAATGAAAAGGACGAATTCCTTAAGGTGAATTTCTTTCATTGTAAATGTCAGACTGGAAATGGAATGTTATGTATATTTTACTTCTCACTTCTAATACTCATAATTTGAAGTCCATGGACACTCTTCATTGATACGGAGTGGTAGCCTTCTCATAGCATACCAATCATTTGAAAATGTATGTGTGGCTGAAGATGCATTGGCACACGTAGGTATAATATATTCTCCTGTTCTTTTTTTCAGGATACATCTTGTGAATCACCACAACGAATAAGCAACGAGTTCAATGCCTCAGGAATGATGTGCTGAACTTAGTGCATCGGATGTCTGCCCCCGACATTTCAAGTCCGCAAAAATGTTCATCACAACTACCCGAAGTACATATCTTTTCGAAAATCTAAATGGAAAAATCATTCATGGCATTTCAAATAAATTGAGGAAATCATTGGGAAGACAAGATGGCGCTCTTGCCCATTGTGTAAACCGCATTCGCGACTTCGTGGACAACATATTTCTTGGTCAATGGATCAGGTGGCATGAGCCGATTCATTGACCAGCATGGTGTCTGGGCATAACTCTGGCTGGCTTCTTTTTGTGGAGTTCAATCGAAGACACATTTGCATGCGACGAAATCTCGGACTCTTCCAGCGCCAAACGACACTATCTTTGCCACAAAGCGGACCTTCCCAGTGGAGTTGTGCCAGTGAGTTTACCTATCGCCACCATGCAAAGGCTTCAACAGTGGACACATTAAGCGGTTTTGTGAAAACCTTTTTGGCCATAAATACAGGGTGTTCGTACATTTCTATTACACTTTTGATATTCAATATCTCCGAAACATAAAGGCATAGGACAGTGAAATTTTAGGGGGATGCTCAAGGGGTCATGAGATTTTATTTGAGACTGTTTTGCGAAAATTGTTTAAGTTCTATTTTGTCCTCATATTTGCACTCTTAACAGTATTGAACCACTACTGAAAGTATGTAATAATTTTCGATAATAGTTAGAAAATTCATAACTTTGACTGAGAAGCAGAGAGGTGAGCTAATAAATATGTTCAACACCAATAAGTGTAATGCCGTTATTGCCTTACGAAAATACTGCACAGCACACAACCTGCGTTTGGGGCCCTGCTCGACACCAGCTATGATGAGTTTGACCGACAAATTCGGGGAGACGGGTTGCACTTGCGACAAGCCGCATTGAGGCAAGCCGTGAACCCCTGTAGATGTCACTGAAATCAGAGGTGCGATTGACGAAGAGCCTAGCACAAGTGCACATGCAGCGAGCAGCATTTGTGCTGTCGCCAGCTTTCTGGATCTTCCCCATTCAACCTTGCACAAGGTCCTAAGGCAAACTCTAAAAAAATTTCAGCGCAAGCTGGAACGTGTCCAAACGTTTGTTAGATCTATGTGCACTAGTTCACACCAGGCGCTTCGTCTATGACGCCTCTGATTTCAGCGAAAACATATACTCCTGTATCAGGAGGTCAGAATTTCGGAATTTCAAGGGCGAGTCTCACTGTTCTATAATTCTGGGAAGAAAGTACAGGTTTCCGGTTGCTTCCTGAATAGGTTAAATATATCGTCCCGCAGATTGCTATTTTAGAGGTACTTGGAATTCTAGATATTTTTCTTGTAAGCATGTAAATTAAATTGACATTCAAGTCAGATTCAGATATCGCTTCAGTGTTCCCGAACAGACTTTCTTTCCGACAGCTCTAAGATTTCATTCAGAAGTCTATTGCTCTACTGACAGCGAGACTGTTTCTCCCATGAGGATATCGCATGAAGAATTGACGTCAGCAAAAACGCAGCGAATATATACTCATATATGCAGCGAATACTCATGCAGCGAATATATACTCATATATGCAGCGAATACTCATGCAGCGAATGTATACTCATATATGCAGCGAATACTCATGCAGCGAATATATACTCATATATGCAGCGAATACTCATGCAGCGAATATATACTCATACTCCAATAATAGGCGGAATTTTGATAGAAAGAGACTATTCCTCCCGCCTTCACCATGAGCAAGTTCCCCAACGAATATAATGAGTGCCAGACATATCCCTTGGAACGCGACAGATTTTGCCTTGCAGAGTCTTCAACCCAGGCAGCACACCGCTTTTAACCCACGTCGGCTGCGAATGGGAGAGCGTGGGCCCACATCGCGGTGGGCTGCCTATGTAGGCCCTGCATCGGCGCTAGGACGGAAGCCAGCATTTGTCCTATCTCTGAACGAGACATCTATCTCACTTATTTGAGCAGAAAACCTTTCATGCGTGCCGTGAGATGGCGGCTACGTAGTTGTATTACAGTTTCATGAGTGAGTGATGAAGTGAATGGAGCATTGCGTCAGCAAACGCGAAGGAAGAATTTAGTGAAATCCAAGAACCGATACGGCAATCTAACGACGAGCGCGTTGATGTCATTTTTCAAAGCTCATCTCACCCATCATTCCACGTGGTACCTCGGCAAGTCGATGGAGCATGGCGCCCAGGAAGCAAAAAGAAAAGTCGACAGTACACCTCCTCTGCGTCAGCGCACTGACGCCAGACCGCAAGCACGGGAGATGAACTGCTCAAATGTGGGAGAATCCCACTCTCATCAACGGGCAGCATCGTACAACAGCTCATACGAATGGAGGAAGATAGGGTACAAGCAGCAAATAGTCACGATATCCAAATGATCTTTTTGTTACTTCTGCCTCCCGTCTCCCATATATTACACTTGCAATTTTTCGCCATCTACCAATGGGACTGCGATACTGGGAAGAAACACTAGCTTTGAATAACTTTCGCGCTCGTCGGCTTCCTTACGTTGTTCGTCACCGCTTTCGAAGACTTGAGGGTGATTTAAGCAGTGACGAAAGAGCCCGTTATTCTGGTATTCTGAAATTCTGCAGAATTTTGGCAAATGGACCCCCCTGAGGAAGCTGCAGTGAATGGACTTCGCTGCAAGTGAACCCAAGCGGCGACGAATTGACAAATCGCACGTGCTTCATCACTGGCGCTTGTAATCCCTGGATTACCCGCTGCAGGCGGGAGGCACTGCAGTGAGCGATGCCAGCGTTCCCTTTATGTACAACGGCCACTCTCGTCTCCTCGTCGATCCGAAAGATGGCGAGAAAAGAGCGAACCCCCCCATTTTCCATGAAAGTTGCTTCCGCTCCCTTTCGTGAGGCTGATTTCCACATTTCCTTTCGCAACGGCACATCCTCGGATGACAAGAAGGATTCCTGTCGAAATCCAAACTTCATACCTTGAAGCGTTTGGCTTGTATAACTCACCCACCCACACCCACACACACACACACCCACACCCACACCCACACACACACACACACACACACACACATTTATCGACTCGGCCTAGCTAGCGGTCAGGATCGCGCGCGCTATATGTTTAACCTCCGGCTAATCCGAGGTCTTCCGGTTTGAGTAAGCCATTCAATCCCCAGTGTCTGCCGTCAGAAATATCTGAGCAGCCCAGAAGTGACCCACGATCTTCCCCTAATTCGGAACGATGCCTGGCCATTATTTCAAATGTTCGTTAATCCGCAAAACCCATTATCTCGTAAATCTAAAAAAAAGATTAAAATTAAAGCGGCTACTTATTAAGAGCTGATCTCGGCGGTTTCTGCCAACTCTAAAGAAGCAAATTAACAAGTCACGACCCGAATTTGGCCTACTTCCTGGTTCGAGATGCCTTGTCAAAGCCATTCGTATACTGGATAGGATTGTGTCGGGGTGCAAAATTCTTGGATTCAGAATGACCTTTGCTTAACGGAGAAAGTAATGGAAATTGCAAAGGGCACGATGGCCGCCTCATATTTTGCATGTCATTGAAATTATTTTGTTGGCATATTCCTCTTGGATTAACCTTGATGCTTTTAGAGAAAGCATTGCCGCTTGAACGATACGAAGTGGAAATATATAAATCCTCACAGGGACTCTTTTTTGACCATGTATTTTATATTTTATCCGATAAAACGTTTTCCTTGTTTTCATGCATCTCGCCAGCCGCACCTGTAGCTGGTCTTGGCGGCAGATAGAAAATTAGTTTTACCTTTACTTGACTTAAAATACCGAAAAATAAATCATTCCGAAATCCATGCGTCTGCAATTGGGACATAAATACAGCAATTAAATGTTTATTGTGTATCATCCAAAATGCGTAGATGGTTGCAGGAAAATATCAAAGGAATTTCTTGCTCCAGCTCTTTTTGTACGAGTCGTCATATGAGATAGTGTGTCAGTGCGTTTGCCTCGAGTGCTGCTTGGAAGAGCGGTCGCTGTCGGACGCATCGATGAAGGGCCAATGAAACATTTATTTAATTAAGGTCAGTTAAATAATAATCACCAATTTAGAGACGACGACATTTTTGGGTCGAGGGGAGGTTGAATATTCCCATTACATCGATTGCATTTTCATGATTAAGGCGTATGACCTGAACGTGGTGATTGCGACTGACAGGGGACCTCAACGGACGACTGTGACAGCAACCTACCGCATAAATTTCTCAAAGACCAATTATTCGTACCAACAAACGTGGCATTCTTGGCACGCCGCGCAAGGCAGCTATTGTAGCTGACCCTTTGGAACACTGTGGATGGGAGGAGCTTCCCCATCCCCCTTACAGTCCTGACACGAATCCACCAGATTTTGGTGTTTTCCCAAAGTTAAAGGAACCACTCCGTGGGAAACGTTACCGAAGCATCGAGGAGGCTACCGGAGTAGTGACGCGAGTTATCCGCCGCATCAACACACGGCCTGCTGGAGGGTGTGCAAAAACATACTGAAGCGTTGGGAGGCGATCATAAGTAATATTGAAGAGCTATGAAGTCGTTTTGTGAAATAATTTCTTTCAAAATGAGAGAAAATTGTGCACTAATTTTGTAAATGACCCTTGTAATAACAGCTAACGTTTTGCGTGCTTGTCAATCCATTAGACGTCAATCAGTAACGACCCGCGAACCGATTGGACGAATTCGTAGCAGAACTGTAATATGGGATCCTCAGGGTCTCTCGTGACTGAAGGAATCATCGATTTTTCATCCAGGAAAATTGGTTGTCCCGAATCTGAATGCGTCTCATGGCAATGCTATCAACATAATTCCCCCAAATTTAGTGTGTACGTAAATTAATGATCTAGAACAGGACAGATTGACAGGAAACGTCCCGGCTGGAAATCCGAACGTTTCCTCTTATTTTAGCCCTTACCGCCCGATTGACAAATTTGTGACACCCCTCGTGTCGCATCTGGTTCGCCGCTCTCTATCAGTTCGTCAGAAGTGTGACCTTGCAGTCTTTGTCGCGTAGTAAGGGTTAGTGCAAGAACGACACGAGTGAAATGTTATTTTAGGCGAGCTTTATAATCATGACCTTGGTCGGACTGAGATGTTTATTGCCCCGCAATGACGTGCTAGTTTTTTTGTTACCCTCATTCGTTATTGGAGAATGCCCTAAGGAACGTAGAGACAACAGTTTAAGGTTCTTATAAACAAAACGGCTTTGGTGAAGGCTGCTCTAGAGACGGAGGGGGAGAGTGTCTCACTTCACACACTTGGTTCATCAGACCCCGCTTGAGTGTCATCGACGGCAATACGCCGTCGATCTGAGTGCTGCCACAGTGTCCAAACGTTTTTGAAAACATAGGGAAGGGTAATCGTTGAACCGTGTTAGCCATACGTGCGCGGGTGTTGGCCAATGACGACACCGTGCAGGAATTGGCTAGGGACAGACTCAGACGAAGAGCCTGCACTTGCCAATGTACCAGACTCGGATATCAGTGACTTCGCAAATAGTGAAATTGACAGTAACGGTGACAACATTTGCATGCGTTGACCTGAGTGACAGGTTTGGCTACAGCTGCTCCATCGGACGATTGCCATTGAAGCGGACTAACCTTTTTTTCACATTTTCGAATTGATAGTACTGAACTAAAATCTCCTGCTCCGGTCGTACGGAAGTAAGTCATCACACTTTGACTTCCACTTTGCGCTCGTGCACTGAAGCCGTCAGCACGGGCCCACAAAAGCGTGCGGTATTTGGATGTGCTACTCGACCCTCGACCTACGTTTACTTGCTCAATGTGCCAAGTGGGACCAAACTTTAATTTAAATTTTAAGCACTTCACTCGCTATTCTTCCGTAAATATTGGCGGTATTTTTTAATCCAGATTTTTAGCATAAATAGGCGCGAATACATGAAACTTTACAAAAGGAGGTTTTGTTGCCATTAAATCCCCCATGCCAATGCCAGGCGTGAGGAAAAAAAAAATTTTAATGCTTAGATGAAGTTTAAAGCTCTGGAACAATGGAATCCTCGGTTTACTATTAAATTGGAGGACTCTCATCACAACAAGGGGAGGGGAGGGGGACCCACAAACCTAATATTTATTTAAATCATGGTTAAAGGGAAAAAATACCTATTGCAAAATTTTCACATATTTTCCTTCTGAGTCATCATTCACTTCACATTAGTATTATAGAATAGGACATGGTGAAACGCTTCTTCTTATCACTTTTGCACTCTTTGTAACCGATAGGGTTCTGACATGAAAAAAATGTTTACCAATATTTTGATCATGAATTCATTCATGAAGTTGACTGCTTATGGACCTGACGATTGCTTATGGACCTGAGACTGTTATAAGGTACCGCGGGACAAAAGGCAAATACAGATAAAAACAAGGAAAGAAGATCATCGTGCGGTTTTCGCGACTAGTTCACACAACCTCATAATACAAACTGTTGTTTTCTGTAGGCTCACCGACGGGACTGGAAGCATTCCTTCAGTCTCAGGCATAACTTATTCTGCATCGGAATCGGAAGATTTTGAGCTATGCCTTCGAGGCTCAGAGTGAGGGGAAGCGACGTGGAACATGGGCGGATCGAAGGAGATTGAAAACTAATGGATCTGGTGTAAAATGGATCTGACGCAACCATCACTCGCCACGCACGTTGAGGTTTGAGCTCTTCCATAATTTTGTCAATTCATTCGTTCCGGGCATAAAAATGTAAGTTTTCTTTGACATTCCTGAGAAAGTCTTTATCGGCATCAGCCTGATTGAACGACACGGAGATCAAAGAGGACCAGGTCGTAGATTCGTAACCAGACAGATTTCCCACGCGATGGAAACAGACCGAGACATTTCCAAACAGGCTAATTTCTGCTTAACCCATTCACGCCCAGCGACTGCAGAACACTATGGGTTTAAAAACGTAATATTACGGTTCCTGGCGTCAATGGGTTAAAATGGAAGCTAACTGGGTTCCAAATACACAGAGTGGGCCTTTTTTAAAAGAGATTTTTCGTTCGAAGCGAAGCGTTTTCCCCCACTCAAGATTTTTCTTTCCTGCCGTTGATTACCAGGAGAGAGCGCGGTCTTGTCACAGGTTTCGAAAGATTTATCAGAATTCTTTGTCAGTGCGGAAGTCATATTGAAATTCATAGTCGAATTTTTTCTGAATTCTCGCTTTCCTCTGGCTTCAAGCAGTTGCTCAAGGCACCTCTCTGTTGCACTCCCTCGAAGGATCCTATTTACTAGGCGTTTATTTCCAGTACGCTACCTCCGTGGTTGCAACAGGCTGGCTTACGTCTAATGTCCGTTATAAAGGGCTCTTGGATTAACTGCGTGCAACAGTGCCACCATGTACCGTTCTCGAGTCGAAAAGTTCGAATCATAATTTAGTAATCTCGCTAATGGTATTCGGCAATTCCACATCTTGACACACGTACTACTAACCGATTGTAGCTTCTCTGCCATCCCGTGTGGCACAGATACATCGATTCGACGTGGGTTTTAGGTGGAAACGTCGATGGCAGTGATGTATGCAGTACTGGCCTCTACGCTCGTGGCGGAGGCTTCAACTTCCGCGGTGCCGATTTATATACTATGTCCCTAACTCTCTCTCCATTTCGTTGTACTAGCATACTCTGTGCTGAATAAGGCGAAATCCTTGGGAAACTGTCCATTTTAGGGCTTAGTTCCCACAGTAGAGACACCAAGGGTAGACCAGCTTGTGTCTTTGTAGAACCAATCATTTTCGTTGTGGATAGGCCTCGACCCATAATCCATCTTAGGCACCTTTCACATGTCCTCAAGACTAAACCCAATCCTACCTACAATTTAACATAAAGAGGCCTCTAATCCATTCATGAACCCATTGGTATTATTAGCTGGATAATGTGTATCCCAGCTGACAGACTTGTGCAATAACCCAACTATTTTCACTTTAGATAGGCCTATTGCTTCTCATGAGACTTCAGGAACTATGAGCATCAAAATAATTACATTGATTGGTGTAGTTATTTAATGACATGTTCAGCCAGTATGCTGCCTTCATAGAAAACACATGCTGAATGTCTAGAGTAAGTAAATTGATACCTTTTGAACCCTTAATACCTAATTGAACCCTTAAAGTTTAAGGGGTTAATAGCTTTTCATCAGACCCTTTCAGTTGCTCTGGTATTAAGTTCAAATACCTATTTTAGTAAAACATAGGAAGTAAATATAATATAGAATAAGAGGCAGTAAGATGGGCCACTTGAGTTGAATATTGTCCAGACTCCACAAGCATGTATATATTTTTGGTACACCTTTCTTTTTTCTAGGCCTTTTTGAAACCTGGATTCTGTCAACTCTCTTTAGATGTGAGAAGATGTAATGCAAAATTGGAAGATTTTTATAGGCCTAAAGGTTTCTGTGTTCTCTATCTTAGAAAGTTTAACTGATAAGTTATGATATGTAATGCATGTCCAGGCTACTCTGATATTTAATGATCCATTGGGCTTGAGATACTTGAAGTAGTCTTTAATTCCAATTCCATACTTCAAGGAGTTTTTGGTTAGTTTACCACTTTAGAACATGCTTCATTTTCCTGTGAATTAGATCACCATATTTTATTGATCCTGGAGTAAATTTCTGGGGATTGTAATGTATGTCCGGGCTACTCTGATATTTAATGATCCATTGGGCTTGAGATACTTGAAGTAGTCTTTAATTCCAATTCCATCCTTCAAGGAGTTTTTGGTTAGTTTCCCACTTTAGGACATGCTTCATTTTCCTGTGAGTAAGATCACCATATTTTATTGGTCCTGGAGTAAATTTCTGTGAAGTCACTGTGGGAGTGTCTTGTGTAATACTTGTAGGGTAGTCATGCAACTTCCTGAGAAGATTGGAGTTTTAATTCTAAAAATTTTGTTGCTACTCTGAAAAATACCCAGCATATTTGAATTTTTGCATGATTTGTCTGTTATATTTTAAATGCAATTTTTCAAGAGAAAGGAACTAGCACTTATGGATAGTCCAGTATATAGGAATTATTGGCTGACTCATCCAGCATTAGATTACTTCAGTTTTTGCTCTTGATATTAAGGTGCAAAAGTTATCATCTGAAGAGCTGAATGGGCAAAGTGAAGTTAAAAGTGAATCCTTGCAGCTCTCCATTATCTATTTAAGTAATCCAGAAAGGCTCACTGGATTCCTTGACAGATCCTCAATATGCTTATTCTGTACATAGTTTGGTCATATGAAGACCGTTCTAGGAAATATTTGCCACAAGAGGCATGACCTATGCTTAACTTTGAATAACGAGGATATTCATCGTTATTCTGGCGACTGCCGAATGACTACGTGTACTCTCGACGTTTACTCAACGTCTCCAGGTCGATATATCTACGTATATTCAACGTCTATTCAACGTTGCTGTGCCACACGGGATATCACCGTTAATAATCTGGTAATACATTTTTTCTCATGGTTCCAATTTAGTTATAAATAATTTTTCTGCCAAATTTAGGAGAAGAAGGATCAAAATGGGGCGTTTCATGAAAATTTCCAAAATTTAGTATCAAGGAATTGGTCGTTACACATTGCGGATTGGTATGCAGCTACTTTCATGTCTTACCTACGACTAGGATTCAACTTCATCGCGAAATCAGAAAAAAAATGGTCCCCGACAAATCTAAAAGTTGCTGTAAAATTCCCAATTTTGCCTTTACAGGGCAAAACAAGTTACGCTTCCAAATTTTGTTTTACAAAGTTTTTTTAAATTCATTATATCAGCTAATGATATTTCACTTGTTTTCCCGTGTATTCATTGTATGCCTATTTACGTATTATTTCATAGAACAGAGACCGCAACGAAACATCCACAAATTACAAGCGGATGCTTTCTCTTTCTTCCCTAGTCTTACTTAAAATGGTTAGAGACCAGAAACACCAATGAAACATCTACAAATAAACTGTTTTTCTCGTGTTTTCCCATATTTTCATTACGTTAGCATTTAATTCATCACCAAATAATATTGACTAAGTCACAAAGAAGGAATGATTCAACACCAGGTCTTATTATTTGGTCACTCAATGAATTTACATCGCCAAATTCTTATTACCACCACCAAATGATTTCATCACCAGACCTAAAGAATCTTGCACCAAATTCTCCTTCTGTATTTTCACCAGATGCCATGAATTGGCCACCACATTTTATTGAGCTAGCACCAAATCATTATTGCATTTCATGTGTCAAAAGGAAACATTTTTCGTTTAGCGGGCCTGCAGGGCAGAACACACTGACTATGCCTGCTGTGAACTAGCATTCTGAGTGAATGTTTGCCAGGCTTGATCCAAACAGGGCATGTGCATTAAAAAATTGGAGCTGTCACAACTCAGAGGAAGAGTCTATTTCTCTTTAAGTTCTCCTAATGCTCCAGTTTTCTGATTAGATATTCATGTGCCCTTTTCCTAACCTCTTCCCTTGTCACTTCCCATCACTTCCCGTCACTGCAGGCAATTAACTCATCTCTATTCGATTCAGTGCCAACAGACTCACTAGTTGCCATAGCACCTCTATTACATAGGGCACGCAGAAACTGGAAGCCGTCGTCGTACACAACTCCCATACATGCACACAATAGCAAGGAGTCTAGTTACACAGATCCTTCCCCGAAGTCCCTCCAATGCATGATATGATCTCACAATCTCATCTTGACATCATAGGTCTAACCGGAAATAGACAAAAATATTTTCTTTGTTATGGTTGCAAATGCTGAGAATGTCAGAAGTTCGATGATTAGATCTCTTTTTTGTCCGGGATAATGTAAATTTGGTGATACCAGCACCGGTGATGATGCAATCATATTTGGTGAATTAAAAAAAAGGAATTTGGTGACTGATTCCAATTTGGTAAAATTCATTGTGATCTGGTGATAGAGTCAATATTTTTACGGGATGAAAATATTTTGTGATGAGTTCATTATTATTTAGTGGGTGATTAAATATCGTGACGTAACGTTTTCTAAGAATTTTTTATTGCATGAGCTCCGAGCACAGCTTTTGGGTGGGTCGCTTTTCCAAATATTATTATAGGAGGGAAGTATTTCAAAATGTATTCTCCACATTTACAAAAATTGGATAGAATAAAATATTTAAAGTTAGACACACATAGAATCATGGAAGTAATGATTCAATAAAAATCAAGACTTTTGATCCCATATGTCAGGTATTTCAATAGGGAAGTACTTTAAATACGTGTTTCCCATTTCGTTAGAAATGGATTAATGAATTCAAGTTAATGGAGCACCGAAGGCGCAATCAACCGAAGGCTAGTATTATATATAGACGATCGTGAGTAGCTGACGGACTGACATAAGTAGCTATTCACATGCTGAGTTCAGGAAGAATTTCACTTTGATGGTACATGCAATGGGGGCACACCTTTTCGGGGAACATATTTTCAAATAGTTTTCTTTGCTTCAATCAAACGGAGAGACATGGAAAGCTGAATATTGGCAAGAACGTGACTGCGGACGCATTGAGCTCAAATGTCAAATGTCAAATTTCCAAAATATTTTGGGGAGGCATATTTCTTGGGGACGTAACGTTTTCAAATAATTTTTCATATACCCCCGAATCAGGTAGAAATAGAAAGTAGCAGCCGGCGCACGCATAACAGACGTGATGTTGCTTTAAGGAAAAATTATGCTTTTGTTGTGCGTCTCCTCAGAGCACAGCTTATGGGTCGGTCGCTTTTCCATATACGAGGGCCACTCAATAAGTTATCTACCTGAATATGAAAGGGATGAGCAACAGGCCTGTGCCTGCTGTGACATGTCTCGACAGGTCTCGTGAGTGCCCCACCACTATACCAGCTCAGTGGCTCAAGTCCGTTCAAAGTGGTAGCGCATTAGATTTCTTTT